GAGGGGTGAGGGAGAAGGAAATGTTAGGATGACTCCCAGGTCTCTAGCTTGGGTAGACAGTAGTATTCGCTATGACTGGGAAGAGGGGAGGAGGAGCAGGTATTGGAGAAAGGGTAGTGAATTTAGTTGTAGAGATGTCAAGTTTAAGCAGTTGGATTAGTTGGAATTTATAAAATGGACTCTGGGCTGCAGACTGGGGGTTTATTACCCTGTCATTGGTAATGGAAGACATACAAGTCAAAGAAATTACTGGGAGGAGTATATAGAATGAGAAGAGACTTGAAAACAAAATCCAGAGATGCGAGCTTTTGAGACAGCCCCATATGCCAGTCCTTTTCTTCCTGAGAGCACTTTTGGACTTACTTGTGCTGTGGAATAAGTATTCATCATGTAGCCTTGCCCATGGTGGGCATTGAGGAGACCAAAAGGAAAACTTTCCACATGAGGGGATACAGAGAGACAGAGACAAGGGCAGATTACCTGCTGAATGAATGCCAAGGGTTGGAGCAGTTGGAGCTCTGTATGTTGGTGCCACCTCTGGGCAGCACTGTGCCTAGGTTGGGAGTGTCATGTGGAGTTGTCAGGCACCACCTGCTATTTAACTTCTCATTTTACAAGTTTGAAAATGGTATGAGCTTCGTTTTTCCTTTCAGATCCATGAGACAATAGAAACCATCAACCAGCTGAAGACTCAGCGGGAGTTCATGCTGAGCTTTGCCAGAGACCCTCAGGGTTTCATCAATGACTGGCTTCAGTCCCAGTGCAGGGACCTCAAGGTAAAGAACCCAGGAGAGCCTGGCTAACACAGTGAAAGCCTGTCTCCACTAAAAATACAAAAAATTAGCCAGGTGTGGTGGCATGCACCTGTAGTCCCAGCTACTTGGGAGGCTGAAGCAGGAGAATCATTTGAATCTGGGAGGTGGAGTATGTCTTAAAAAAAAAAAAAAAAAACTAGGAGAAGTCTAAAGGGACTTAGGTCAGTGAGGCACACAGCTGCTTTTTATATGTAGCAGCTGGTAGGAGAGCCAGACTAAGGAATGAGGGGCCAGATTTTTCTTTAGCACGTTCCAGGGTCCATTTTGCAATTAAGTAGGGAAATGGGGGCAGAGCCATCAAGCGTTAATTTAGTACTTACTTTGTCTGTCACTCTGCTTCATCTTGTCAGGGATACAGAGTGGAAGACCTGATCTCTGCTTTCAAAGCAGCCTACATTCTGTCTGAAGAAACTAGGCTAGTATGGCTGGGCGCAGGTGGCTCACGCCTGTAATCTCACTTTGCGAGGCCGAGGCTGACGGATCACTTGAGGTGTCAGGAGTTTGAGACCAGCCTGTCCAACATGGTGAAACCCCATCTCCACTAAAAATACAAAAATTTAGTAGGCATTGTGGTGCACGCCTATAAACCCAGCTACTTGTGAGGCTAAGACAGGAGAATTGCTTCAACCTGGGAGGCAGAGGTTGCAGCGAGCTGAGATCGCGCCACTGCAATCCAGCCTGGGTGACAGAGTGAGATTCCATCTCACAAAAAAAAAAAAAAAAAAAAACTAGGTGGCTAGGCATGGTGGCTCACGCCTGTAATCCCAGCACTTTGGGAGGCCGAGGCGAGTGGATCACCCGAGGTCGAGAGTTTGAGAACAGCCTGGCCAACATGGTGAAACCCCATCTCTCCTAAAAATACAAAATTAGCTGGGTGAAGTGGCGGGTGCCTGTAATCCCAGCTACTCAGGAGGCTGAGGCAGGACAAGTCACTTGAACCAGGGAGATGGAGGTTGCAGTGAGCTGAGATCTTGCCATTGCACTCCAGCCTAGGCAACAAGATGGAAACTCCATCTCAAAAAGAAAAAAAGAAACTAGTATGATAAAAAGTAGTAAACCATATAAGACATTATCAGGCCGGGCACTGTGGCTCACGCCTGTAATCCCAGCCCTTTAGGAGGCTGAGGAAGGCAAATGACCTGAAGTCAGGAGTTTGAAACCAGCCTGACCAATGTGGTGAAACCCCATCTCTACTAAAATACAAAAATCAGCTGGGCGTGGTGGCATTCACCTATAATCCCAGCTACCTGGGAGGCAGAGGCTACAGTGAACTGAGATCGTGCCACTTGCACTCCAGCCTGGCTGAAGGAGTGAGACTCTGTCTCAAAAAAAAAAAAGACATTATCGGACTGACCCAGGACCAATAAGATGATTCAGAGAAGGGAGATAGTGAGGCTGGAATCTCTAAGGCTTCATGGAAAATTTGGGATTTGAAGACATTTCCCAGATAGGGAAGCACAGGAAGCTCAGGCAGTAAGATAGGAATGGGCACAGAGTATAAACCCATCAGTTCTCACCCCTCCTGTGACTAGGTAGGCGGAGCAGAGGAGCAAGGGAAAGGGGGTGCCAGGAAAGATCTCAGAACAAGGCAGCAACTTGTTGATGGAAGGGGTGATTGGCTGTATCATTTTGCTGAGGCTGCTGTAGCAAACTTACCATAAACTGGGCAGCTTAAACAACAGGCTTGTCTCACATTTGTGGAGGCTGGAAGTCCAAAATCAGTGTGGGCAGTGCTGCTTTCTTCTGCGAGCTGGGAGGGAGACTCTGTTCTGTGCATGTCTCAGCTTCTGGTACCTCAGGCGTTCCTTGGCTCGTAGGTGGTGGTCTCCTTGTGACTTCATGTTGTCTCTTCTTCTGTACGTGTCCGTCTGTCCAAATTTCCCCCCTCATAAGGGGACCAGTCATATTGGATTAGGGCCCACCCTAATGACCTCATGTTAACTTGATCATCTGCAGAGACCCTATTTCCAAATAAGGTCACATTCATGGGTACTAGGAGGTTAGGACTTCAGCATTTTTTGGGAGGATACAATTTACGCAATAATGGGTGTAAAGGAAACAAACAAGTATTTCTCTCTCTTCCCGCACGGCGCATCTCCACTTCCCTCAGACAATGACTGATGTGGTGGGTAACCCAGAGGAGGAGCGCCGAGCCGAGTTCTACTTCCAGCCCTGGGCTCAGGAGGCCGTATGCCGGTATTTCTACTCCAAGGTAAGTACCGGGGGTGCACGGGGGAAATTGACAAAAGACACAGGGTCTTCACCCCTGATGGGGGTCAGTGGTGTTAGATACCAACTTCTGGTTTGTCTCATCTTCCACTCCCTTCACTATTTTCTCCTTAGGTGCAGCAGAGACGACAAGAATTAGAGCAAGCCCTGGGAATCCGGAATACATAGGGCCTCTCCCACAGCCCTGTTCGGCTGCACCGATTCTTGATTTGGGCCCTGTGCTGCCTGCCTCATAGCACCTGCCTTGGTCTTGCTTGGGGCGTTCCAGGGGATGCCGTTGGTTCAAGGACAACAACAGAATGAAGAGGGTCTCACATTTCTGTCTCATAAGACACCTTTTATCCTCTTCTGTCACCCCATCCCTTCCTACCCACAGCTTCCCTTTGCCCCACAAAGTTCCCATGTGCCTCTACCCTCCCCTGGTCTACATAAGACCTCTAGATAGTGTTAGAGAGAGAACCTGTAGTGGTAATGAGTGCTCAGAGTGGATTGGGCCTAAAGTTAGGTGGTCTTTGAGGGGACCAGCTACACTGATCCTGCCCTTTCAGAGACCCAGGAGTTGGGAGTTTTAGCCCCTTCTCCAAGACTCAGGCCTGGGGGCACTCTATAAGCTAGTTGATCTTGACTCTCCTGGTAACAGAATCTGATTTCCTTCCTTCCCTCCACAGGTTTGGAGCAAACTCTCCCTTCACTTGTTGCCCTGTAGCACTAAAGAAACCCTGGTTCTTGGGCTCCACGGGGCCCCAGGTCAGTCCCCAGCCCTCTGGGTTGGCCTGCTCTCTCAGTGCTTCTCTCACTCCTTAGTTGGGGTCCACATCAGTATTGGAGTTTGTTCTTTAACTATTGCTCCCTCCCAGACACTCCCTGTGGCTGCCCTTTGTGATTCCCTCAAATCTGCCCTAACTCCAGGCATTTGGGTGGGGGAATCTTGCCTTTCCCTTTCAGAGCACCAGGGATCTCATCTGGGGAACTGTCATTGCCAGCAGAGGCTGCTCCTTCCTGCTGCTGTTTGGAGATGTGACTCATTCATTCACTCCACCCTGCCTCCCCATCCCTTAATGGAGAAACAGGCCTAAAACCAAACGGGTAAAAAGCCCTGGGCCATCCCTGTCTTCCTGTCCCTTGCCTGCCCAGTTGACACCTACTGGTGACTTTTAGGGCACTGAGGAGTGAAAGCGCCTAGGGCTGGAGAATAGCGCTGAGTTGGGTTTGTGACTCTTCCCTCTCCCTGCCTCACAAGATTGTGACTCCCCAGCCCCTGCCCTCAAAGCTTCAGACCCCTCAGGTAGCAGCAGGACCTTGTGATCTTGGCCCCTTGGAACTGAGATGGTTTTTGCATCTTTCCAGGGGAGCCTCACATTCTTCCAGGTTGTATCACCCCCGAGTTAGCATATCCCGGGCTCGCAGACTCAACACAGCAAGGGTGGGAGAGAGCTGGGCACAGGGGGGGAATTCCGTTCAGCATGGGCTCTAAACCCACAGAACTGACAAAGCCCCTGCTTCCCCACCCCCTCCTCAGGCTCCTGCGAGCACACCCCCACCCCCAAATCCCTGCCTGTTCTACAATGGGGACAGCAGAATTTTCTTCCCATCCTCCCTTTCCCACCATTTCCCCCCCCCCCCCCTTGAAAGGTTGACACTGGACAACCTTGGGGCAGCTGAGCCCTGGCCTGCCTCCTGGCTGGAACCATGAGAAGGAAGCTCAGTACTTCCACAGTGTCCCTGTTGAGAACTGTTTTTATTAACTGAATTATTATGTTTTTTTCATGGACCAAAATTTTTTTTGTACTGTCCCCTTATTGATGTTACCCAATTTTAATAAAAGAATCTTCTGAAGGATGGGTCCCCCTACCTACTGTGAGAGAGCTCTTCCCTGAGCTCTTCTTCCTTCAATACCATTAGCCATGCTCATAATGTTTGTTCATTTTGACATGTATTTATTGAGCACCTGCTATGTGCTAGTTGTGATGCTACACCTGGGAGGTACAGTGGCAAATGAGATTTCTACTTTTGTGGACCTCAGGGTCTTACCTTAAATTGCTCTTTCTGCCCCAGTGGTCCAAGCAGGCTAGTTGCTAGTTGGGATTATTGGGCTTCACCACTGGATCTTAGAGCCCTTCCCCAACTTTCTGTGTTAGGCAGGTACTAACAGGTCAGTAGCAGTCATCTTCCCCCTTGTCCATCTGAGCTCCCCGGGGCACTTGCTGGCTGGAGTGAGCTTTGGATGCCTGTGATCCCTTAGGTTTGACGAACCTGAGCCTCCTTTGGAGGAGTTTCACTTCGCCCCCAGGGCTTCTCTGTAGATATGGGCAGGACCTGGACGACCAAAGACATTTTTGCTTTTTGTGCTGGCTGCTCTTGAAGGTTCCACTTTCATGGTTCGGGTAGGAGTTCAGTTCTTAAGAGCAGCATGGAAGTTCTCTGTTGTCATCCTCCTACTGTAGACAACCAACCCCTCCTTGGCAGAGTTAGGAAGACAGCTCAGGAGGGATTCCCATTAGCAACCACTTGAAACTCTCCTGCAATTCTTCCTGCTTCCCACTTGGGGGCTCATGGCTTTTTCCCTTTCCCATTATCGGAGAGTGGGGTTTGGAATACAGGATGAGTGCAACCAATTTCCAAAGCTGTAGTTTAAAATTATCCTTTGCCTCTTTGGATGGGAACATTCTAGTATTGCCTGTTCAATATATGTAATCAAACCCACCAAAAAATCCAACCACTGTTCCTACTGTGGAACTTGGGGTTTTATCAGATGAGAAGGGGGAGCAGAGAGGAGTGGTTGGGCTGATAACTAGGAGTGGAGAAAATTGATGTCAAGGACATTGAAATGGCATCTGTTTTTACCCAGGCTAATTACATGTGTAATGAATGGCTGATGAACCATTATTAATTTCAAGCAAATAATCTACAGTTTGCTCTTGGGAAAAGAGCTCTAGTGATACAGATAACTTCCTGTGACGAGCCAATTCTGAATCTCTGCACCCTCTTTATTCCCATGTAAATGAGCACATTCTTAGTCTCCACACTACCTAAAATGATTGTAGGGGCAAAATGAGAGAGGGAAGCATTTAGGCAAAAACAAGGGGGTTATTTTATGCATAAACATCCATTCTTTGGGACTCCCGTCATTTGTGCCAGGGACAGAAGCATCCTTTCTCTTCCATCACCCGTAATCAGTGCTCCCAGCTGGCAGCCTGGCACTGGAGCCTTAATCTCAGTGCCAGTGCAATAAAGGAGTGGTCTATAGGAGGCTGTTTCTGTATTAGGTACTGTGCTACACTAGACAGCTAACTACTGATTTCATGTCCGTTTCCCTATGGGAACCCACTGGCCATGGAAGGAGAATATGGTTGGGTTTTCCTGGGCAGTTCCTGGAACTTAGAAAGCCGTTTCTCCCCAGTCTTGACCTCCTGCCCACTTACCCTTCCCCATGGGTTGCACACAGACTCCCCTCTAGCCCAGTGCTTGTTACCAGTTGCTGGCCAGCAGCAGCCCAGGGGGATGGCAACACCCACCTAGCCATCTGCCAAGCCACGAGGTCAGCACGTGAGCACACAGTGCTGTCTGCCCTCTAGGCCAAGGTGCACAGTGTTGGGAACCTCTTGCTCCACTCTCCAGATCAGCCTGGAAACCAGAGCTTCCTTTGTCCTAGTCAAACAGATGGCTGTGGGCGATGTAGAGCTCTGAACAGCTGAGTATGTTCCCTCCCCCCAAAACACACACCAACCATGTGTGCGCATGATTACCCCCAATCACGCGTCTGAGACCACAAAGCCCCATGGACACAGCTGCCCAGATCCTGCCTCCCTTCCCCTTTTCTGGCCTCTGCAAACTAGCCATTCACCCAAGGAAGTCCCCAGGGCAGTAACTTGGAAATCCCTGAGAGGAGGAGTTGAAGGAAGCTCAAAGCCTCTCAAGGGCACTGTGTAGTATGCCTGCCTCCTATCCTCTTAAGCCCAGACTCTACAATAGAATTGTGTGCTGCAATTCTGACAGCCGTCCAGCTTTCACCTTTTCCTTCTTCCCTAGAACACATTTTTGGGTGGGGATCATCTGAGGTGAGAGGCCCATGGATAAGTCCCCGAGATGACCTCTGTGGGTGACCAAGATGACTTTCCCTTTTGAGGTTCCTGGGGTCTCTTATCTTTTGAGCTGGGCTGTCTTCAAAGCCGGCCCTAACCTCATATAGCCTCATCTTTAGAGTAGGGAAGATGGGCCCGCAGCTCCCACCCCAGCCCTGCAGTGGAGCTAGCATGGGCCTGCTAGAGGACAGAACTGTAGAACGGGGTCCTGGGAGGGTACATGGCAGCGCTGGGGATAAGGGGTCATGGAGAAATCCTACCTCTGAAAAGCATTCCCCTCGCTGCTACTGAAGCTAAATGCAATTTATTTCATGCTGGGGGGCAGAGGGAGTGAGGGAGACCAGTCACCTGCTCCTTATCTGGGCTATTTTCTTGGCAGACCTCAAAATGGGACCATGGTGGGGAGGGAGTGGGAAGTTGGGCTGGGGCCAAGGGAAGAAGCTTGCCAGCACTGTCAGCCGAGCCCAGGAGGAAAAGCCAGGCCTAGCCTCTGCCCCATTCCTGTTCCCCACCTGTCTCTACCCCTGTCTCCCCTTTCCCTGGTTCTGCCAGACTATCTCCCTGGGCACCAGCCTCCCCACCCACCCCTGGAGGGTGGGGCTTGGCTGCACCCACGTGTGGTGGAGTTAAATGCTCCTAGCCGGCAGAGGAGCTAGGGAGTGTGGCACTGAGCCGGCTCAGGCAGAGACGCGGCACCATGGCTAGCAAGAAAGTCTGCATTGTAGGCTCCGGGAACTGGTAAGCAGCTCTCTCAAGCGATATGGGGGAAGGGTGGGCCCCCCCCCCAGGACAGAAGTGGGTAGGAGGCAGGGTGGGTGGGAAAGGCCCTCAGGTTCCTTTGCTATCTTCAGCTCTTGCTGCTATCTTCTATAATAGCACAGGACAGACGGTGCCCAGCCCTCTCCTGGCCCCTGCCCACCTGGGCAGCTGCACCTGTTCACCATGGGAAGGCGTCTCCAGAGCGCTCGTGTGAAGAGCCACTCGAGTTTGGGGGTGGGGAGATGAGAAGGTGGGCTCCCTTCTCTAGCAGCAAAGGGTGAGGAGACTGAGTCGCCTTTCTACTGCCAGGTCACTGTGGACATACTTGTCCAGGGAGCAGAGGTGATAAGGAAGGTGGGAGTGAACAGCTTGAGGGGCTGCTGTGAGATCCTGAGGTGGGGCGCTGCCCCAACTCCTGCCGCTGTTCCCCCTTCCTCCACTTCCCCGTGCTCCCCCTTCCTCCAGGGGCTCAGCCATCGCCAAGATCGTGGGTGGCAATGCAGCCCAGCTGGCACAGTTTGACTCACGGGTGACCATGTGGGTGTTTGAGGAAGACATTGGAGGCAAAAAGCTGACCGAGATCATCAACACACAGCATGAGAATGTCAAATACCTGCCAGGGCACAAGCTGCCCTCAAACGTGGTGAGTCCCAACACCCTGCAAGGAACAGGGAGAGGGAGGGAGGGCCAGGAGTTGGAGCTGACCTTACTCAACAGGTGCTTCCCGCTGAGGGGGCCGCTTCAGGTGTGGCAGGACTTGGGAAGGCCTCAGGAGGGCTGCTCCGGGTCCTTTCCTGAGGATTAAGGAGAACCCGTGCTTTCCCCTCACAGGCTTCTAGGCAGGTGGGTGGGGAAGGGATGGGAGAACAAGTTGGTCTTCACAGCAACCAGAAGACAGGGCTCCTAGACTTGGGGTCCGGTAGTGCCTGCCTCAGGCACTAATCCTGTTACTCATTCACTGAGCAATTAGCCAACTTGGAGGCTGCTCCTTGGACTTACACGGTCTTTGGTGACACGTGGCTCTCCCCACCTGGAAAGAGGAGGCAAGGAAGAGAGCAGAAAGGCTGGGGCTCCCCTTTCCCAGCTGGGGTCCCTAGGAGCTCGGTGATGAAATTTTATTTGAGCTCTTTCTTCTGCCAAGCCCAGGCTGCTTTTGGCCTCCCTCAACTGTCCCACAGCCAAGGGACAGGAGAGTGTTGGGTTGAGGTTTCCAGGAGTCCTCAAGAGCCCGGGACAGCTGGAGGGAGAGGGAGTGTGGCTGGGGGGAGGGAGTAGAGTGTCTTATTCCTCCAGTTCAGTCCTTCTCGATTCAGTCCTGTTAGAGACAGAATATTGACTTGCTGAGAAAACTTTTTGTCTGAATGCTAATTTTTCCTTGCAGCACCTAGGAATATGCATTTTGTCTCTACCAGGTCCCAAACAAGCCTTCCTTCTCCCCTACCAGCCTCACTCTATGGCTCCCAGATCTCCTGAATGGGGTTCCACACGGGGTAGGGGAGGTCTGCCAGGCCCGTGAGCACTTGGTCATCCCCACAGGTGGCTGTCCCAGATGTGGTCCAGGCTGCAGCGGATGCTGACATCCTGATCTTTGTGGTGCCACATCAGTTCATCGGCAAGATCTGCGACCAGCTCAAGGGCCACCTGAAGGCAAACGCCACTGGCATATCTCTTATTAAGGTGCCAGGGACACCTTCATGTGGATGGGGGAGGGTGCAGCTCACTGCTGTGGGGCTCAGGGTGGGTGAAGCAAGGAGAACAGAAAACGGCAGACGTGGGCCAAGAGTTTGTCGGATAGAAGGGAGGAAGTTGGCTCTGGAGAGGCTTAAGAAAGCAGTGAGGTGCTGGGGACTGATGGAAAGGAGGCTGAAGGGAGGAGATGAGAGATTGGTTTGGAGGTCCTGTTTCCTGGGGAGTTTGAGAGTTGTAAAGTGATGCGGGGGAATATGCGAAGGGGGCTAGTTTGAGAATGTGAGTAGCTGGTCTGGAGCAGGGACGGGTCTCTGAATGGACGTTTGTTGGGGCAGTCAGGCGGGGTTGCCTAGGGATATGGAGGGACCCGTTGCCTTGGAGAGGTAGGTTGGTTGAGGGTATGTGGCAGGAGAGTTTGTCACATGCTGTCTGGCCTCCTCACAGCAAACTTGAGTGGGGTTGGAATGGGGCAGGACCTCTGGGGAGGGACACAGATGACAATGGATTTGGAAGGGATAGAATTTCTGGGCGGAAGCCCGCAGGTGGGCACAAAGGGCACCTGGCCTGAGCTCCATCCTGTGCTCAGGGGGTAGATGAGGGCCCCAATGGGCTGAAGCTCATCTCCGAAGTGATTGGGGAGCGCCTCGGCATCTCCATGAGTGTGCTGATGGGGGCCAACATTGCCAGCGAGGTGGCTGATGAGAAGTTCTGTGAGACAACCATCGGTGAGAGCCCCCTGCCACCCACATACCCAGTGCATCTAGTTGCATCCCCTCCCCAAACTGCCCTAACCCCACTTAGCCATCTCCTTCCCATAGGCAGAGAAAGGAAGATCCAAGCTTCAGAGATGAAGGAGGCTGGGACACCCCCAGGGAAGGGGCTGCAGGGCCTGCTTAGGGCAAGTTCGGGAAGCACAGCGATGAGCCCTCCCTCAGAGCCGGTGCAGTGGTGCACCTGTGGTCCCCAGCTACTCAAGAGACTAAGGCTGAGGTGGGAGGATCGCTTGAGCCCAGGAGTTTGAGTCCAGCCTGGACAACATAGAGAGAACCCCGTCTCTATGAAATAAATATTTTTTTTAAAAGAGTCCTTCTCTCAAGTCTTGCCCCCTCCTCACTTTAGGCTGCAAGGACCCAGCCCAGGGACAACTTCTGAAAGAGCTGATGCAGACACCCAATTTCCGTATCACCGTGGTACAAGAGGTGGACACAGTAGAGATCTGTGGGGCCTTAAAGGTGAGAGGGGCACACAGTAGCTATGGGGTGAGGAGAAGGCCCCAAAGGAGGCCTGGCTGAGCTCTGCAACGCTGCAGGCACTCCAGGCTCTCGCTGTTGAGCAGTGGTTCCCCTTCCCTACCATGTCCCACGCATATAGGATGGGCTGCAGAAGCAAGGCCAGGGCCCTTCAGGCTGGCTGATTATTTACCATCAGACCGTGGACCCCCTTGTTCCCTTCCCACTTTAGCCCTGTGTGGAACCCCCTAGCACCTGGCTCCAGGAGGTGGTCCAGGGGGATGAGGAGATGCCCAGGCTAATAGGAGACAAGACATCCACGACACCCAGACAGACTCATGGCCAGAACTATGGATCCTGGACAGCTGTTGACTTGAGGGCTATAAAATGGAATAGTCATAGATGAGAGGGCCAACTAGAGAGAAGAGTGGTTTTCAGAAAATGTCTTCAAGGAGGGAGTATGGGGCAGGACTTAAGAAAGGGGGTGCAGCAAAGCAGGGGACCAAGAGGCAAAAATATTTTAGGAACCTACACACTATACCTCACTTATGCAGTGGGTATCATGGCTGATGAAAGGAACATGAGGGGGCTCCACATGGGGACTACAGGAGGGGGTCTTTCCTCATCGATGACCTCCGCTTCTTAAAGAATGTAGTGGCCGTGGGGGCTGGCTTCTGTGATGGCCTGGGCTTTGGCGACAACACCAAGGCGGCAGTGATTCGGCTGGGACTCATGGAGATGATAGCCTTCGCCAAGCTCTTCTGCAGTGGTCCTGTGTCCTCTGCCACCTTCTTGGAGAGCTGTGGTGTTGCTGACCTGATCACTACCTGCTATGGAGGGCGGAACCGGAAAGTGGCTGAGGCCTTTGCACGTACAGGAAAGGTGGGCCCCGGGAGAAGGGAGAACAGAGCGGGAGCCCTGTAGGCATCCGGGTAGAGGTGCTTGGCAGGAGGCATCTCTGGAGCACAAACATTAAGACTGCTGTGAACATCCCCATCCCTCTTTTCCTTTGAAGACCCCACTTCCATCTGAGTTCGTCTCTCCACCCCCCACTGATAGCCCTCCTCTCCCATTTCCATCTACTCGTCCTGTTTTCTGCACAGTCCATTGAGCAGCTGGAGAAAGAGATGCTGAATGGGCAGAAACTGCAGGGGCCCCAGACAGCCCGGGAGCTACACAGCATCCTCCAGCACAAGGGCCTGGTGGACAAGTAAGTGTTGGCCACAGCCCCACTGATTAAGGGAGCTATGGCCAGAAGTGCTTGCCCTGTTCATCTTCCTGCACCCACCACAAATCTGTGAAGTGGACAGAGAGGGGAGTGTTACCTTATGTTTCAGACAGAGTCCAGAACTTGCAGAGTCTGGCATTCCCATTGTCCCCCAGCTAGTTCGTGGTCTTTGAACTCCTTCCGGTCTAGTGCTCTTCACACTACATCACCTGGATCCCTTTGTGCCCCTCCTTCTTTGTCCTCTGCTCTGGGGATTGGAGCTCTGGGGCAGCAGAAATAAGCTCATCAGCCAGGCGCAGTGGCTCAAGCCTGTAATCCCAGCACTTTGGGAGGCCAAAGTGGGCAGATCACCTGAGGTCAGGAGTTCGAGACCAGCCTGACCAATACAGAGAAACCCCGTCTCTACTAAAAATACAAAATTAGCCAGGCGTGATGGCGTTTTCCTGTAATCTAGCTAGTCCGGAGGCTGAGGCAGGGGAATCGCTTGAAGTCGGAAGGCAGAGGTGTTGCAGTGAGCCGAGATTGCGCCACTGCATTCCAGCCTAGGCAAAACAGCAAAACTCCATCTCAAAAGAAAGAAAGAAAGAAAGCAGCTTATCCCACTTTTGTCCATCACTCCCAGTTTGAGTTTCTCCCCCAAGGCCAACCCATCTGTTCCCTGAATCCTGTCCTGGGTGTTGAGGTGTAAGGAGAACGATGGGCTCTGCTTCAAGGTGCTCCTTTTCAGGGAGCGGAAAGATAGCAGGGGTGACTGGGCTGATCAGAGCAGAGCTGTGCTGGTCTGAGAAAGACTCCTAGAAGAGAGTATGAAACAGGTTCAGAAGATTCACTCATGGCTGGTTATGGTAAAGCCTGGAAAAGGGAGCAGCTGGGCAAAAGGATGGGAAGAAAGAAATGGGCATTTATTGAGCACTTTCACATCATACCTAATTACATCTTCACATACACAATCATATCTTCACTCCTTTGTTATACTGGCCCCGTTTCTTTTTTTTTTTTTTTTTTTTTTTAATGAGAGGGAGTTTCGCTCTTGTTACCCAGGCTGGAGTGCAATGGCGCGATCTCGGCTCACTGCAACCTCTGCCTCCTGGGTTCAGGCAATTCTCCTGCCTCAGCCTCCTGAGTAGCTGGGATTACAGGCACGCGCTACCATGCCCAGCTAATTTTTTGTATTTTTGGTAGAGACGGGGTTTCACCATGTTGACCAGGATGGTCTCGATCTCTTGACCTCGTGATCCACCCGCCTCGGCCTCCCAAAGTGCTGGGATTACAGGCTTGAGCCACCGCGCCCGGCCGCTGGCCCCGTTTTACACTGAGACTCAGAGAGGTTAAGTGGGTTGCTCAATTGGCACAAAAAAATCCAAGCCAGAGAATCATGCCGGCCAGTTCAATATGGTAGGGAGCAGGGCAATTAGGAATCTGACCTTAAACCCAGGGCTAAGGATTCCACATTCTCAGCAGGTAGGAATTCACAGCCAGCTTTCCTGAGCTCCAAGGTAGGAGGGCAGGGGATGGGAGGGTTAGGTGGTGAGTGGAGGTGGGGGTAGAGCAGGCCAGGAGTGGGAGACTAAGCAGGGCCTTTCCCTCTCCAATCTAGGTTTCCCTTGTTCATGGCTGTGTACAAGGTGTGCTACGAGGGCCAGCCAGTGGGTGAATTTATCCGCTGCCTACAGAATCATCCGGAACATATGTGAGTGGGGTCAGGGCCCAGGCCAGGCCGCTTCTTTACCCCAATGGAGACCAGCAGAAGCCTGGGGTACCTAGTCATCAAGATCTCCAGGACTCCCAGGGAACAGAGTCTTCTCATCTTTTCACTGGAGGACAGGAGGCTATAGGGCTCAGATACACACTTGGAGATTCTGAACTGTCAAGTCACTGGCAGCCTCTTGCCACATTTGCCAGAAATGCAGTTGCCCTGTCCCTCTCCAGATGTAGGGCTTTCTCCTTGTCCTCTGGGAGGGGTGGAATCAAGTCCCAGTGATGCCTGCTTGGCGGGGTGGGTGGGTGGAGTGTGTGTGGGGAAGGGTAGGGGGAGAGGGTGGCAGGGCGCAGGGGCTGCCAGTGGCTGTCTCACAGAGACCAGGAATCCTGTTAAAGGGCAGAAGAAATAGCCATAGCAGGAATGAGGCAAGGATTGTCAGGGAGGGGTCTGGGCTTCTGAGCTGATGCAGGCCTCACGGACCCCTTTGCTGACCTTTGCCAGGACCCACACAGCTTCAGTGGATCTCAGTGTTTGTTAACAAAATACAAAGATCTCAACCCCCTTCTAGCTTCTCCTAGCAACATCTGCGTCCTCAGAAACCTCTGGTCCTCCCCTTTCCCCCTCCCCCAGGCTGCCCTGGCACCCGAGTTGCTTCCATGCTGGCATCTCTAGCTGGGTGGCTTGACATTCTCCCCAGGGACTTCCCGGTTCCTAGTTCTTTGCCAGCTCCTCCCCGTTCGTGTGACCTTTCCAAGCCCTCCCTCACCCTCCCTGCCAGCACCCTCTTTGGGGAGCAGGAACTTAATCTGCTGACAGAGCTATACCTTTTACAACAGGCTCAGATCACTGGGCTCCCTGTGACCTTTGTGTTCGCCCGGCCTCCCTTCTCAGTAGCTCTAGCTGGGGGAGGTGTCAGCTGGGCCCCTCCTGTGCTATCTCCCCAGAGGATATCCCTGACTCCACCCCTTTCCTCCTCCCAAACCCTGCACCTCTTCAGCTGCTCCAGACTGGCCAGGGTAACCAGCTAACCCGTGCCTGGCATCTGGAAGCCAGCAGGCCGGAGGGTGGCCCAAAGGCTGACGAAGGCTAGGGAAAGGTGAGCAGGTGGGTGGGTATCAATATTCCAAGTGCAGCTCTTTGCTAAATGAGGGCCTCCTTGTGAGGTACTGACCACACCGCACCTCACTAGCTGTGAAACTGAGGAGGAAGAAAATAAAAACCACCCTACTTCCTGGGGTGAGGGAAGAACAGGAGCGGGGGAGGAGGAGAGTGCTCTGCACTGGCCTTGATCCAGGATGGGGTGGCAGCATTAGAATGTCACAGGTCAGCAGCCTAGGCCTCCAGCTATAAATAATCCGAGGGCCCGAGAGGCTCCCGCCCGTCCAGCAGGGGTCTCAGCTTCCTGTGTGGCAGCACCTGGCACAGTGGCTCTGGCCAGCATTATGCTAAAGCCCTCTTACTCTCCCACGAGCCAGGGAGGCGGGCTCCTCTCTGCGCCTAGCCGTTGAGAATTCTGTCTTACCAGTGAAGGGCGGAGCTGCCCAGATCAGGCAGCAAGAGTGAGGGCCACAGGCCTGGCTGAGCCCAGGTCTGGGCACTGAGTAACTTCACAGCTGCCTCCCCAGGAGGTTAAGGTGGAGGCAAAGGGGAAGCTTCAAACACTTTTGCCTACTTTTGTTCATCAGGTCCACCTGTCTACCCAATAAAGCGTGTTTTTCCAGAAACAGGAAGAGCTGGGAGAGGTAGCTTCAGTGCATGTGGCAGTGCGTGTGCTAGCGTGTATCATTACACGTATGTTTTCCCTCTTACCGTAGGAAAAATGAAAAAAGAAATCCCTCCTCCATAATCGCAGCCACTCCAGGGATCAGCGGCGGTACCCACTCAGTACCCTCCTCTCTCTCCCCTCTCCCGCCAGCGCCCCTTCCCGCCCGCAAGCTGGCTCCCAGCCTTCCCCGCGCTTCTTAGGGGCTTTATCATGCCTCCTGCAAAAAGAGAGGTCATACACGAGACAGAAACGTTAGACACTCATCCCTCATGCCCATTCCTTGGTTACGGCCCAAGCTGCCCCATCCTTGGCAGTCAAGGCCTCGCGGTGCCCCTCCGGTCCCTACCTGGACTCGGCCCGCAGCCTGGCTCTAGGGGGCGCGCGGTCCACCTCCAGAAGGCCCCCTTCGAGAATCTACCTAGCTACTGTAGACGTCATCATGCTGTAGGCCGGGGATTGGCTGACTCTGATTGATTTAGCATCCTAACACTTCCGGTTCCGGAGCTTGGCTCGCCAAAGACCCTCCCTCGAGGGAGCGAAACCACAGCCCCCAGAATTCAGCGGGCCTCTCGGAGAGCACGGCGAGTCTGAGGATGCGTAGTAAAGATAACGGGCCCGGAAGCCGGAAGTTCAAAGCCGGCCTCCAGCCGGAGTGGTGGCCGTCGGGAACTGCCGCCTTGGTGGGAGGAGTTATGCAGCGTCTGACGCGCGGTTCCCTTTCTAGCGTCTCAAGCCGAATCCTAGAGGCTAACCCGGCAGGTGGGAGGGAAAAAGTCGCCTTCCGCACCAATAGCTGAGGCGTTCCGGGTTGTCCAGGGACGCTACCCTCTCGTGTCTGGTTCTGAGTGCTGCGTTCTGGCGTGCTGGAAAGTTGCGCAGACAGTGGCGGTGAGACGCTGCCTGCCTGAGGAGGCCTCGGTTGGACGCGAAGGAGCTGCAGTATCCAGGTACGCCGCCGGCTAGGGCCGAGCAGGGGCCGCCGATCCCGCTGCTTGCGCGTGCACCTGGGTCAGCCTCCGCTGGCCGCGTCCTCCCATTCCCCAGTCTTCAGGCCTGGTGCCCTTGAATTCTGTCACCCTCGTCTGCTGCGCCGCGGACCGTGAGCCGCACTGTTTCCTGCCCAAGCCCTTCGCGGCAGTAGTTCGGCCTTGCTAGCGCTCAGCGCTGATCCTGTCAAATTCGACTCCTGCCTGGCGTCTCGACCCTCCACGCGCTTACTCCAAATGCCCCTTCTTCGCCTTAGAGAGCTCTGCGCCCTGATAAGTGGCTCTCCGGAGCACCCTTCGTGCATATCGGTCATCCAGCTCCACCTCTTGGCCGCTTTCACTTCCTGGAATGCTCTCCCTGCTCCTCTTCTCCAGCCCACCCTTCTAAAAAGACAGTTCCACCCCCACCCCGATTCCCACCCCTACACCTTTCTGCTAACTTTTCTCGAGCCCCCACCCTGTCTCTGAGCTCTTGTTTCTGAACTCTCATAGTACTTCTCCACCATACCATAGGCTCCGTTATGACAGAAGCCATGTTCTTTTTAGTGTCCTTCATAGCAGGATGTATTTTATTTTATTTTATTTTTGAGACAGGGTCTTGCTTTGTAGCTTAGGCTGCAGGCACGCACCACTACGCCCGGCCTTTTTTTTTTTTTTTTTTTTTTTTTTAAATAGAGACATGGTCTCGCTATGTTGCCCAGCCTGGTCTCCAACTCCTGAGCTCAAGCCATCCTCCCGCCTCGGCCTCTTGGGATTACCAGTGTGAGCCACCGCGCCCAGCCGATATACTTCCTAAGTGCTGAATAAAAGTAGATAAACGCTGATGGATACCCTAAAAGTCCTGAGTTGACCACTATACAATCTATGCTTGTAACAAAATCGCACTTCTTCCCATACATTTATACAAATTTTTAAAAACAAGTGAATGTCAGCCGCGATGATAGATGAATTTGAGGGAATGAGTTTTCCAGGGGAGAGGAGAAGCCTTAGTCTTGAGGTCCCCTTGTGTTTATAAGGCAGAACAAGAGAAAAACCTTTGCAAATTGCACCCCATTTTCTGTAATGATTCTGTTTTCTCGAAATGTTCTGAAACTTGCAGCCCAACCACATCACTCCATAACAGAGACCCAGTGTTTTGTGCTTTATTGAGAAAATGCATGTCCCTCAGATAAAAGGGTGCCTCTGCTAACCTCAAAAGTTTCCCTTATTTCCAAGGTTAATCCCTCTACTCAGGCATATAATTTTTTTTTTTTTTTTTTTTTTTTTTTAAGCTAGAGTTTCACTCTTGCTGCCCAGGCTGGAGTGCAATGGCACAACCAACGCCCACTGCAACCTCCACCTCCTGGGTTCAAGCAGTTCTCTGTCCTTTGCCTCCTGAGTAGCTGGGATTACAGGCATGTGTCACCACACCCTGCCAATTTTGTATTTTTAGTAGAGATGGGGTTTATGCATGTTGGTCAGGCTGGTCTCAAACTTCCAACCTCAGATGATTTGCCCACCTCTGCCTTCCAAGGTGCTGGGATTACAGGTGTGAGCTACTGAGTCCAGCCTGGGTGTATAATTTCATCTTTTCCTAGGCCATTATCTCTCTTGTTCTATCCTGCCCACCTGACTTCTTTTATCCTCAGTTTAGCCACCAGCTTCATCCCCTCTAAAACACATTCTAGGCTGGGTGTGGTGGCTCATACCTGTAATCCCAGCACTTTGGGAGGCCGAGGCAGGTGGATCATTTGAGGTCAAGAGTTCGAGACCAGCCTGGCCAACACGGTGAAACCCCGTCTCTACTAAAAATACAAAAAATTATCCAAGCATGGTGGCACATGCCTGTAATCCCAACTACTGGGGAGGCTGAGGCAGGAGAATCGCTTGAACCCAGGAAGCAGAGGTTGCAGTGAGCCAAAATCATGCCACTGCACTCCAGTCTGGGTGACAATGAAATTCCATCTCAGAAAAGAAAAAAAAAATTCAGATCGTTCTCATTAATAAGCAAAACAACAGCAGGATTTTCTTAAACTTGTTACCTTCTCAAGCTGCTGTCCCATCACTCCCATCAATACTTATCTTTAGGGTGAGATAAGGGTGAGGATTATGATTCTTGTAAAAATGTTTCTCTGTCCTGGAAAAGTGGTAGGCACATGTGAATCTTACAGGGTTCATAAGGCCTGCTGAGGCCTTGGCCAACAATTTGTGCTCTTGATGTCTGTACTGCCCTTTACTTGATGCTTATACTACCTGTTCAAGTTGAGTGGAATAAATTGACTAGAATCCTAGGCTTACCAGTGATCTAGTCACCGGTCCCCACCCAGTGTTCCCATCAGACCAGTCTTCATAGTAGTTAACTTTGCAGTAGTGCTGCCCAATTTTTTTTCTTTTTTCTTTTCTTTTTCTTTTCTTTTCTTTTTTTTGAGACAGTCTTGCTCTGTTGCCCAGGCTGGAATATAGTGGTGCTATCTCAGCTCACTGCAACCTCTGCCTCCCAGGTTCAAGCAATTCTCATATCTCAGCCTCCTGAGTATCTGGTACTACAGGCACCTGCCACCATGCCTGACTAATTTTTGTATTTTTAGTAGAGATGGGGTTTCTCCATGTTGGCCAGGCTGGTCTTCAACTCCTGAACTCAGGTGATCCACCTGCCTCAGCCTCCCAAAGTGTTGGAATTAAAGGCATGAGTCACCTTGACCAGCGTGAAGAGTTTTTGCTAATTGGATATTAGGGGGAACCTCAGCATGAATTAAGAGAGGGAAGTAAGGGTCTAGACACCAGGATTATGTTTATTAGTTGGTTTTATGTCACTTTTCTAGCCAAGCTGTACCATCCTGTTTTTGTTGGTTGGTCGATGCTTCCAGTTCTTTTCCTCCAGCCTTTGGAAGAGGTGGTCCTATAGTTGTTAAGCATTTGGCTAGGGTGATGGGGAGTGGGGATAAGAATGATAAGTGATGGGGAAGTCGAAGGCTGAAGGTCTCTTTGCAGGGTGCTTGTTTACTACCTTAGTGTCCAGCTCCATGGGTGTGTGTTTTCTTCACTGTCTCATGGCGCAGCTTGGGGTCATTTCAAATCTCAGATGACCTGAACACAGCCCTTTCTCATCTTGAACTTGTATTCTTTGTATTCTTCCTCTGACCTCAATGTCACTTTCCATAGTGGGATTGTATGTCAAAGAAGCTGTGCCTCAGCTCAGCTTGGGTCTGCACTCAAAGCCTGGCTCAAAGGCAATGTTCAGCCTTAGGGTTTACTCTGAGAAGCATTTACATGTAAATGTATCCATCTCTGACCCCTCTAAACCAGCAAATCCTGAGCTTTACTTTCAACTTTTTTTTGATTTTTTTGAGACAGGGTCTCACTCTGTCACTCAGGCTGGAGTGCAGTGGTGTGATCTCAGCTCACTGCAGCTCGGCCTCCTGGGTTCAAGCAGTCTTTCTGTCTCAGGCTCCTGTGTAGCTGGGATTACAGGCATATGCCACCATGCCTGGCTAACTTTTAGAAAAAAATTTTGTGGAGATAGGGTTTCACTGTGTTACCCAGGCTGGTCTTAAACTCCTGGCCTCAAGTGATCCTCCTGCCTCGGCCTCCCAAAGCATGGGATTACAAGCGTGAGACACTGTGCCCTGCCTAGGTTCTTCACTTTGTTTGTGTGTATGCTTCAGCATTTGTGTGTATGTTTTGGTGTGTGTGTGCACATGCACGTGGTAAGGGGCAGGATTTTAAGTGTTTCTGCCTGCAGTGCTGAGAGCAAGCTGCCAAAACTAAAAATAAGGTCCTCTTAGGCCTCACTAACAGGCTTATGGGAGCCCAGTTCTCTCCAGGCTCCTCAGGACTGGGTCTGAAGGTCCCTGGCTTCTACCCTGGCACTCTTTGTCTCTCTCTTTTTTTTTTTTTTTTTTTTTTTTGAGATGGAGTTTCTCTTTTTTGCCCACACTGGAGTGCAGTGGTGCCATCTTGGCTTACTGCAACCTCTGCCTTCTGGTTTCAAGCTATTTTCCTGCCTCAGCCTCCTGAGTAACAGACAGGAACGCGACACCTTGCCTGGCTGATTATTGTATCTTTTAGTAGAGACGGGGTTTCACCATATTGGCCAGGATGGTCTCAAACTCCTGACCTCATGATCCACCTGCCTCAGCCTCCCAAAGATTACAGGTTTGAGCCACTGCACCTGATCCCCAATTTTTTTTTTTTTTTTTTTTTTTTTTTTGAGACAGAATCTTGCTCTGTTGCCCAGGCTGGAGTACAATGATGGGATCTTGGCTCACTGCAACCTCATCTCCCAGGTTCAAGCAGTTCTGCCTGATCCTCCCGTGTAGCTGGGATTACAGGCACGCACCACCATGCTCAGCTAATTTTTGTATTTTTGGTAGAGACGGGGTTTCACCGTGTTGGCCAGGATGTTCTTGAATTCCTGACCTCAGGTGATCCACCCACCTTGGCCTCCCAAAGTGTTGGGATTACAGGTGTGAACCACTGTGCCTGGGCCCACCTTGGCACTCTTAACACAGTTTTGCCTTTCCCTGCTATTTCTGTCAGTCTTCGTGTAGCTTGGACATACCCCTAACCTGTCTTTAACGAACCCTCAACAGAGATGTGCCTAGGAACACATTCATAGTCCCAAATTGAGGGATGTTTTGTTCCAGATGAGGGATTCTCTACTAAATTTTCTCTTGTTTTCTAGCTTGGAATATCCAGGGAATAGTTAAATTAGAAGTAATTTATGTCATGCAAATGTAAGTTAACAATTTGCTGGAGACCCAGTAAGTTTTTTTTTAGCCTGTGGGATAGGTTCTTAGTGCTGAGTTCAGAACTTAGAATTAATGCTATAGAAGGTTAAGTATAATTGAAATAATATAAAAGTACTTTTGGCACTATTTCAGTTATATTATGGCTTATACAAGCTTTAGTGTTGACTTGGAAACCTACCCACTGTGAATAAGATTGTTTTTATGGGGAAACAAATTGGATATTGCCTGAAAGGTTCCCATTTGATCTTCCTAGAGAGAATAATTCACTGCAAATGTTTCATTTCTGCTACCTCCATTAGTTCCCTCCTAGCTAGAAAAACCGATACTTGCTTAAAGTAATGTTAACAGTCAGAGCAGCCCTGGCTGGTGCAATGGCTCAGCCCTGTACAAAATCCTAGCGCTTTGGGACGCTGAGGTGGGAGGATCACTTGAGCCCAAGAGTTCAAGACCAGTCCTGGCAACATAGCTAGACCCTGTCTCTACAAAAAATAGAAAAACTGGGCAGGTGTGGTGGTACATACCTGTACTTTCAGCTACTTGGGATGCTGAGGTGGAAGGGTGGGCTTGAGCCCAGGAAGGCGAAGCTGCAGTGAGCCATGCTCACACCACTGCACTCCAGCCTGGGCATGCAATGAGAACCTGTCTCAAAAGAAAACAAACCCCAGCAGCCCAGGCTGGTCCATGCCAGTCACTTCTCTCCATAGGCGTGAAAGGCCAGGTGTCAGCTGTGATGACATTCAGAGGCTCCTGGTTCCAGGCTTGTTTCTCTATCTTGTATGCAGACTTGATTTGCCCTTTGGAATCAGAGTTCCTAAATGATACATTCAGTATGATTTTGAGTCTTTACTTAGGTATGGGGCCAATCAGTATAGAGTGCAGACAGATCAGGCAGGAGGCAGAAGTTATGGAATGGCCTTAAACAGGGAGACGGGCCAGGCAGATGAGGCCTTATCCTCAGGTCTAAATTCAATCTGTCTTTGTAGGGGACAAGATGCCAACTGCCAAGCAGCTAGCTGACATTGGTTATAAGACCTTCTCTTCCTCCATGATGCTCCTCACTGTGTATGGGGGGTACCTCTGCAGTGTCCGAGTCTACCACTATTTCCAACGGCGCAGAGCCCGGCGCCAGGCCGCAGAAGAACAGAAGACCTCAGGAAACCTGTAGAACTGAGGGGCTTTTTCTCCTGAGCAAAGAGGCCCAAGGCATGCTGTGGAGAGACCTCATCTGCCACCATTTCCAAGTCAAGAGGACTAGAGCCTTGATGGTTTTCAAACTCTGTTGGAAGAAGGTGCCTATGGTTTCTCTGGTTCTGCCAGTCTGTGCCAGTTTGACAGTTTGTGGAGGCTGTTGTATCATAATAGGAGTATGAGGGTGAGGTACACCTACAGACATTAAATATTTTGCCATGTCTGTGTCTTAGTGTTTTTTCATTTACCCAAATAGTGTATGGGCCACAAAAGGGGAGCCTTGACTACCAGTTTTCTGGGTATGGACTAGATTATCGTATCTTGAGCTCTTAGGACCCATGAAGTGGATGATATACAGTTCCAGGAGTAGTATCTGCCCTCATGATCTCAGAAGAAAGATTGTTTCAGGATCTATGTAAATCCCCTGAAAGAATTCTATAAGGAGCTTTTCTCTGGGCAATGAGCATTCCTGGGCTGATTACTGTGCTTATGTATCGGGTTACTCTGGCCAGTATGGCCGCATGTGCAGCTCTGCATCGAGGAAGGCAGAGATCCTTGTTTGACAACCGTAATCAAACTGCACGCAGTAGAGAAGGATAGGTCCCAAGAGGAAGGGCTGTTGGGCAGCGTATGGTAAAGCACTTCACTTCTTTAAGCTCAGTGGGTGTAGTAGAGCATAAGGATAGATTCACTGTGCTACTGCACAGGAAACCTACCTGGAGATCTTATTGCAGAGAAGTGAAGAGGATTTGAAAGAGAACAAAGTGCTTTCAAGATAAGACCTCGTTAGGAAGTGAGATATCCTTGCCACCATTCCATTTTGAGCTTTGAAGCTAAGCTGGTTCACCTCCTTCTTGGTGATTGCCCAGAATATCAGCTCCTCTGGACACCTGTCCTCTCCCATATGCTCATGTGCAGACTGTGCTGACCTTTGCCCCTGCTCATAAACCTTTTTCATTATTTTAAAACACCAACTTTTGGCTTGCACAGTGGCTCACACCTGTAATCCCAGCACTTTGGGAGGCTGAAACAGGAGGATCCCGTGAGCCCAGGAGTTTGAGACCAGCCTGGGCAACATGATGAAACCCTGTCTCTACAAAAAAATTTTTTTAATTGGCCAGGCGTGGTGGTACACACTATAGTCCCAGCTACTCAGGAGGCTGAGACTGGAGGATCACTTGAGCCCAGGAGGCTGAGGCTGCAGTGAGCTATGATCATGCCACGGCACTCTAGCCTGGGTAGCAGAGTGAGACCCTGCCAACCAAAATCCATCCATCCATGTATACATACCAACTTCCCTATATCCTCAACCCCTCTACTTCCATCTTCTCTGTGTTACCCAGAGCTCTCCCGCCTGCTCTGCTTTCTCACAGTAGGGTCGTAATTCTCCCAGATCCTCAGTGCCACTTTGAAGTATTAGCTTCCCTACCCAAGCATGAAATTAGTCCTTTTTGACAGACTTTCTTATATTCTCATTCCTACTCCTCTAGACCTTGGAGACTTGAGTTCTCTTGATTCCATTTTCTCCAGTCTGTCAGCCTCCTTTGCCTGCACTGCTTCCTTGTCCAGCATATGCCCATAGCTGAACCCCTGAACAACTCACTAGCACCCACAGTCTCTGTCTTCATCTGTCCTGCTACCAAGCCTGGACCTGGCTCCTTTAATTACCTTCTCTAATTCACCCTCTCCTTTTGAGTAGGTAAACTTGCATAAGACCCTGCACCAAAACAGCTATTCAAGGTTTTTTGTTTGTTTGTTTTTTTAGATGGAGTATCGCTCTATCACCTAAGCTAGAGTGCAGAGGTGTGATCTTGGCTCACTGTGACCCTCCATCTCCCAGGTTCTAGCAATCCTCCCACCTCAGCCTCTGGAGTAGCTGGGATTACAGGTGCACACCACCACGCCCGGCTGATTTTTGTATTTTTAGTAGAGACAGGCTTTTACCATGTTGGCCAGGTTGGTCTTGAACTCTTGACCTCAGGTGATCCTGCTGTTTTGACCTCCCAAAGAGTTGGGATTACAGGTGCAAGCCACTGCACCCGGCCCCTGGGATGGTCCTGTACAACAAATTGTCTTAAGTCCTTCACAACTATCAGACGTCCTAGATATTCGGTAGGTGAAAAAACAGTTTACATAATAATTAGCTGAAGGCTGGGCGCGGTGGCTCAAGCCTGTAATCCCAGCACTTTGGGAGGCCGAGGCAGGTAGATCACGAGGTCAAGAGATCGAGACCATCCTGGTCAACATGGTGAAACCCCGTCTCTACTAAAAATACAAAAAAATCAGGGCATGGTGGTGCGTGCCTGTAATCCCAGCTACTCAGGAGGCTGAGGCAGGAGAATTGCCTGAACCCAGGAGGCGGAGGTTGCGGTGAGCCGAGATTGCGCCATTGCACTCCAGCCTGGGTAACAAGAGCAAAACTCCGTCTCAAAAAAAAATAATAATAATTAGCTGAGCATATAACCTAACTCCCTTTTACATAAAAAAAGTATTTTTGCACAGTTCTGTGGGCATGCAAACTAAATGGAGGCAACAATGTACAGTAGTTTGTTCTATTCAGAACATCTGTTCACTATTTTAGAAAATTGTGCCATTGATGGCAGAGCCAGCTCCTGATGTTTGAGTCTCTGATACAATAGAACTTAGTTTGCACAGGATAGTAGTGTTGTCAGGCCAGGTGCAGTGGCTTACACCTGTAATCCCAACACTTTGGGAGGCTGAGGCAGGATTGCCTGATCCCAGGAGCTAGAGTTTACTGTGAGCCATGATTGCATGACTACACTCCAGCCTAGCAAAAGAATGAGACCCTGTCTTTTTTTGTCTTTTTTTGAGACAGTCTCACTCTTACCCAGGCTGCAGTGCAGTGACGTAATCTCGGCTCACTGCAACCCTCTGCCTCCCGAGTTCAAGCAGTTCTCCTGCCTCAGCCTCCCGAGTAGCTGGCACTATGTGTGTGTGTCACCACACCTGGCTAATTTTTGTATTTTTAGTGGAGTTGGGGTTTCACCATGTTGGCCAGGCTGGTCAACTCGAACTCCTGGCCTCAAGTGATCCACCTGCCTTGGCTTCCTAAAGTGCTGGGATTATAGGCATGAGCCATGGTGCCCAACCAAAACCCTGTTTCAAGTAAAAAAAAGTGGGGGGGGCAGGGGTGGGTGTGGTGGCTCACGTCTGTAATCCCAGCACTTTGGGAGGCCAAGGCAGGCAGATCATGAGGTCAGGAGTTTGAGACCCCCCTGACCAATATGTTGAAACCCTGTCTCTACTAAAAATACCAAAATTAGCCGGGTGTGGTGGTGTGCGCCTGTAGTCCCATCTATTTGAGAGGCTGAGGCAGAAGAAACGCTTGAACTAGGGAGGTAGAGGTGGCAGTGAGCCAAGCTCATGCTATTGCACTCCAGCCTGGGCAAGAAGAAAGAAAGAGGTGGGGGAGGGAGGAAGGGAAGGAAGGAAGGGAAGTGAAGGAAGGAAGGAAAAAGAAAAGAAAGAAAGGAAGGTGGAGTCGGGGGCAGGTATGTGTTGTAAATATAGAAAGTAGCCCAAAGACTGGGTACTATCACACATGCCTGTAATCCCAGCTATTTGGCAGTCTGAGATAGGATGATCACTTGATCCCAACCCAGAAGTTTGAATCAGTCCTGGTCATCATAATGAGATTATCTCAAAAAAAACCTAAACTCAAAAGGTATTGGGCCTTATAGATGAGAACCAGTAGGCTACTGGGTCAAGATCAGTGTCTTAGTTTGAGTGGCTAAAGTAAATTACCATAGAGGGTAATAGCAATTTATTTCTTATAGTTCTAGATGCTGGGAATTCTAGGATCTAGATGCCAGCATATCCAGTGTATCGTGAGGACACTCCTGGTTTGCAGATGGTCGTCTTGCTGCATCCTCAAGTGGCAGAGGAAGCAAGCTTTCCTTGTTTGTCTTCTTATAAGGACACTAATGTCATCATGAGAGGTCCACTCTCAGAACCTAATGACCCCCTAAAGAGCCCATCTAATGCTGTCCCACTGAAGTTAGGGTTCCGACATTGGGAATTTTGAAGAGGACACAAACATGCAGTCCATAACAGATTCCCTATCATGATGTGCAAGACCTCTTTTTGAGACAGGGTCTCCGTTGCCCAGGCTGGAGGGGAATGGCATGATCATAGCTCACTGCAGCCTCAACCTCCTGGGTTCAAGTGATCCTGCCACTTCAGCCTCCTGAGTAGCTGGGCTACAGGCACATACCATCACACCTGGCTACTTGAATTATTTTTGTAGAGAGGGGGTCTCACTGTTTCCCAGGCTGGTCTCAAACTCTTGGTCTCAAATGATTCTCCCACCTTGGCCTCCTAAAATGCTGGGATTACAGGCATTAGCCACCACACTTGGCTATGATGGTTAATTTTATATGTCAACCTGACTGGGTCATAGGGTACTCAGATATTTGGTCTTATTCTGGGTATATCAGGATATTTCTGGGCCTCATTCAATATGTTGAAGGCCTGTATGGAACAGGAAGGCTGACTAAGAGACTCTCTTTAAGGTGGAACATCAGTCTTCTGCCTTGTGATGTGGACTCAGACTGGAACTTATACTGTCAGCTCTCTTGGTTTTCAGGCCTTTGGACTTGGACTGGAACTATACCATTGCCTCTCCTGGGTCTTCAGCTTATTACCTGCAGATCTTGGGACTTTTCAGCCTCCAGAACTGTAGAAGCCAATTCTATATAGTAAATCTCTTTCTCTCATCTGTGTATCTTATTGGTTCTGTTTCTCTGGAGAACCCAGACTAATGCATCCATATTGACAGGAAATGGTTCATTCATTGTAATTGCTGTGTAATATGCCACTGAGTGAGCATATCAATTTGTTTTGCTACCCTAGTGAAGGGATATTGGGTTGTTCGCACTTTTTTCCTCTTAACAAATCAGTAGCAATGCAGTGAGTATTTTGTATGTTTACTTGGGCCTATGTGTTAGTTTCTCCAAAGGAGGAAATATTACTGGTTATTTAGCTTCACTAGTTGTTAAGTTGCTTTTCCAAAGTGGTTATGTGAATTTCACTGTCACCAGCATTTCCCTATTCTGTTGGTGTTGAGTGGTTCTATTAATTTTAATTTATATATCGTTGATTTCTGATAAGGTTGAGGACTTTTTTATTGATTTATTGGCCATTAGTATGTTTACCCTCTGGGAATTTCCTGTTTACATCCTCCCCTCACCCCCACTTGTTTTTTTGT